CTCCTTAGGCTCTTAGCATTAGGGTTCTAATGCTTCGCCATTTCGAGAGGGAAGGCCTTTGCCACAACAGTATAAAAACACAAATCTACAGAAACAAAACAACATGGTCAGAGATGTAGTAAATATCAGAGAATCTTCACGACAATTACAAGTCCTGACGTCTGATTTCTCCCCATACTAAAAAACGGTGTCATCACATTACGCACTATCGAGTGCACTCTATGGACATAGATGAATATGTGTTGAACATGCAAAGACAATAGGACAATAAGAACCACGATAAAAATTAAAGCAACAACTGAGCAAATATAACTATTTTTGATATTTGGTTGATAATATAATAAAAATGTGGCTGAAGAATACTAAATATTCGAAATTAACACTCTAATAACAAGTCAAGTAAAAAATGTCCTGTTCATACTCACAGATTTTTTATATGATTCCACTCGATGGTAAGTGATAGCCGCTTCTATATACATGAACATCACTTCGACATTACATAGTCGTGTGACGCCCGTTTTACCACTTTAGTATAATTATACCACAGATAACATAATATTACATATTATACTATAGTTATCATTCTAGGGCTAAGAAGTTATACCTCTTATGCTGTAATTTCGCTGTCTTATATCACCTTTACAACAAAAACATACCTTACAAAGCAAGCTGCTTGGCGACGGAAATGGGTAGACAGAAGTACCCGTGTAGAAGACAAATTCTGGCTTTGTGAAAACAATACATTTCGTATGTTTATATTAAAAAAACAAGGGCGTAGATGAAAGCAATTGGATTAACCGTACCTAAATAAGATATTTCAGATAATTAATGTAAATTTGAAATATGAATTCTGATTGATAAACCAACTTTCATTCATTCATAATTTAAGAGCCACGTCTTTTATCATTTACTTTATATGTTGATATTACAAGACTCCGATTTAAACAAACACATTATGATATGAAAAATTAATTTCGCTTTTAGCATTGTATAGAGACGGGTCTTTACTGATCACTTATCAGAACACGCGCCCGATAGATATCATTGATATTGGAATATAGTAGCGATCTTATCTAATTGAACGCCAATTTATTTAAGAAAAGATATTATTATTCAGTTTCTACAGGTAAACCCCCTATAGAATCTGTGTTAATACATCTTTAATTTTTTGAAGGTTAATTTTAATATTATCTACCTATATGACTATTAGGAGATTGTTATTAAAAATAAATACAATGATTAGGTTTAATCTAAGACGATATCATCAAATGTTTGAAAGATTCGCTTATGATTCTTAAGTCTTATTGCCTTCAAATAAGGTTATTTAAATGTGTCAGTCTGTCAGATATCTAGGACATCGAGTACAAGCTCGGAACATTTTGAAAACAGATGGCGCTGTGAGTAAATTCATTGTAGTCTATATACCTACTAGTCAGTGAAATTTAGTGGAATATTTAATTGAATAATAGTACTTTTCTTTAAAGTTTGTATTGTTTTATATAACTTATAATTTGATAAACTTGTACATGCTCTTTATGATAATTTGTCTTATACAATAATATAAAAAATTATAAAAGACCTCGCTTTAATATCCATTAGAAAATTAAAGACACTACGATCTATATGGATAGATATATATATATATATATATATACATAGACTGTACGGTCGATATCGGGAAAAGAAATAGAGAGAAATCGGTGTTCAATATGATAGAACTTTTTATTTGAATTTGATCATGAATATTAGCTAAAACATAGAAGATTATTTTTTTTAAATAATAATTTGCAGCTATTATTATTTTAGCTATTATTACGTGATAATAGTTTGACATAATATTGTCTACATTAATTGTAAAGGGCGACTCAGACTTTCTAAATTTTTCAATTAAATTCACACATGGGTATAAATTAGTTCTTATAATAAAATATTTTAATCACCATATTTTACCTAATAGGCATGTTTACTATAGAATAAAAATTATTGAAACCAATTAGAAATGTAAATGTCGTAAGGTATAATTTTTTTACAGTATTAAAATTTGTCATCTATATAATCCGTTCCGGAATAATAGGCTAGTCTTTAGTAATTAAATAAGACTTAAGTGCATTTTAAAATTTATGTATGTAAATTAATTGTGGATATATGCTTTTTCCAAGAAAAGAGGTTTTATATGTCCTTCGATATATATTTTCCACGCATGACTATATTTATGAATAAATTTCGATTATCTCTTGGCCAAGATAATGCGAAGTAAAGTAAAATAAATTAAAGTCAAAGGATAACCTCTTTGTGCAGAAAATCTTTATACAGACGGCGCCGAGATTATATGATATCAATTTAATTTTCCGATTACGGAAAACACATTAATTTGTGTGATAGCGTATACGCTATATAAAATAGTCTATGGTACAATGTTTAAATAAAAATATTTGTATTTCATGCGAATTGTGGAAACTTCCAAGATGATAATACCGTTATCGCAGCTTTAGTCGCAGTATTTGTCAAAACTCGCTTCACTACTAAGAAAAATCAAGTATCACTGATTAACTGGTTGGAGTTAATTATATATTTGTTTCAGTGCTTAATATTGATAGATTAATTGACAAATGTTCCGAGATTAGGACAATAATCGATGATACAGCGCATTATTTAATTTGTTAGTAATGACAGATTATAGTGATGTTATATATGATAATAGAATTCATCGTTGTCTCACTTCAAAATTAATCGACTGCACAAAATCCCTATTAGATAAGTGTGAGACACTAATCAAATAAACCGTTTGGAAATTATTGTAGGGTAAGATCCGGTAGTAATTTTACCTATACGACAGATATGAAACAGAAATAATTAAGCTTATTATTCATTCTTTTTTTTGACAGATAAATTTTAATGGTTTGGGAAGAAAGTCTAAATATCTTCAATTCCTCCCCTATTAAAGATTTAACGAATAAATTCTCAAAACAAAAAAAATAGCCAATAACACAGCGCTATTTAATCCCAAGCTAAGCGAAGGTTGGGTTATAGATACTAAACGACTGATATAAATACATAGATACATTATTTTTGTAAATACGTACGTAATATACATAAAAACACCCAGCCAGACGCAAACACTCATACACGTAAATACAAATATTTGCACTGAGGGAGGAATTTAACCCACAACCAACGGAAGTAAAGCGGTGTGCTAAAATGCTAAACCTCCGATGTCTTCAATAAAAAAAATCGATTACACTCAGTAAACCATTTATTATTTTAATTTTCTATCTATTTTGGAATTTTACTGGTTTGGAAAGAAAGCTAAATATCTACTACTCCTTACCTATTAAAGATAACGATACCTTCTCATGAAGAAAAAAAAAATACTAGCTGATTCCGTAAACGTTGTTTTGCCATATAAATTAAAATCGTTATTAAAAACGGACAGGGATAAATCTGATAGTGAGGGTGACGACTGGAATCGAGTCATAGAGCGTGTTTCAAGGATGAGTTCTAATCATCATACAACATGTTAACCACCTGTCATCCAAAATAAGCAAAGTATACACCGCGCTACCGTGGCAGATTACCATCATGAGTGCCGTGATCACACAGACAATTTATATTTCTTTTCTTATAATTATATTATTCATATGTATGTTAGTCTGTAAGGTATTTATAATATGAGTCATTAGCTGCCTGATTTAAATAAATAAAATAAAACAGAAGGGGTTGCAACTATTTTTTAATTCCACATTATAAAAAAATAAAATTGTGTCCAAAAATATAAAATAAGTTTTAGAGGTGTACAACCCTTACCACTTCGGAGTATGAGAAATAGATAGTAGCCGATTCTCAGACCTACTGAATGTGCATATAAAGTTTCATAAAAATCAGTCTAGGCGTTTCGGAGAAGTATGGTAACTAACATTGTTTTTTTTTTCGCACTACTGTAATTCTGTTGGCCGCAGCTGGCCTTTACAGCTTCACCGGATGATAGGGGGCGAGTGCAGATGGCACTCCAAACCCGCGGAAGGACTTAAAAGCGACTGAAGGCTAACTCCCGCCTGACGGATACGACTTAAGTCTGAGGGCACCGCTAGGGATTCCTCGCTATGGGTAAACCTCGGCTCAGGCCGTCGTAATATCGATCCCCGTTTGAATTGGACGGGGAATCGATCGGAGGGTATTCGAACTACCATTGTGACACGACAATTTTTAATATATATATATATATAAGATTTGCATTGCGTTTGCTCCTGATATTTTAGAACCAGCAAATAATTTGTGTAGTAAGTATGAGGCATAAAAAGCGTAGGCACCCTATTAAATTTTTACCAAGTTATACCGGGTTATTACCATGCGGGGAAAATGAGCATATATTAAGACTATTAGACCACTAGTAGTCTAAATACATTTACCATCCATAACTACATGATATTTTTACTATGGCATAGTTAGAGTCAATATACATAGGTTTTTTAAGAAAATATTGATATTAAAGGAATTGTATTTCATTTATAAAAACTCGTAGATATTAATGATTATACCGATAACATATCGGATAATATGAAAACACTCTCATTATGTGTACAATCTGACAGACAGGCGGAAATTTTCTGCAATTTTATTATTACTATAGATAAGAATTAACTTGGATTATGTCATTTGCAAAAATAATTGTGTTTGTGTCTTTTCAGGAAATCACTTTATTATCTACACACTTCAATTGTACCAGTAATAAAAAGTAACTAGTGAAAATTAATTAAAATATAAGACAATAGCACTAGATACTATAGTCTTTGTTTATGTACTAGATACTAAAATAGTATATGTTTATATAAGTGTATAATATAAGAAGCTACAAGAAAATTAAATCACATTACCTTCTTTTATTCGCCATCTGCTTTAGTTTTAAAATAAATAAATTCTATTATATGACTGTTTCACTGTTCGATAATACAAATAAAGTTAATTAATATAGAACATTAATAAATACTAATTAAACTACTTACAGTTTTCCTGAATCGTGTCGTGAAGAGGTATGTGGGTTCCTTTCCATCGGTGACAACGAAATATGGCGGAGACAGAAGATTACGAGACGATCGCAGCAAAGTTATGGACACGTAGAAGAATATCGTAAATGCTGCTATAAGGACCGGTCTGTAAAGATATATGAAGCAGTTTTTTAAATATTTTATTTTATGAGACTGGAGTTAGCAGCAAGCTGTTGATGGTAAGTAGCAACTGTCAATCTTGGACTCAAAATAAATTCCCATAAGACCTTTCGACCCTGTGTATATTTTTATCCCTATCTCTACAGTCGAGGTCGTCTACTATATTTGTGAAGAATACGTCGGCGTTCCCCATACAAGGTTAATCGGAAAAGTAATTGAAAGTACTCTTAGTAACCAACAACTTTTGTTCTACAACTTTCCCTGAAACCATATAATTTTTTCGAGAAAAATGGGTTCCAAATTCTTATATATATCAACAAAAGTAAATAATCATGATAAATTCATGGTGAATTTACCACGATGGGCTAACTGACTTGACCTTATACTCATATTATCATGCTCCTAGGTGCCCCGTCAGCGTGAACGTTAGCGCAGGCGAGTGCACCATTCTATTATCAAACATAAGTAAGCAACTGATATATTCATTCATTGGCTAATCAAGAAGCCAATATAATTGGTCTTTTCGATATAATCATAATCGTAGAATGTCAGCACTGTTGCCAGTTGCTAAGAAACAGTAATGATAATGTAATGGACTATATCCCCACCAATAAAGACTCACCTGTGAGAGTCATCATCATTTGGAAGTAGGGCAACAACAGTTGCATCCAGCAGGCCCCAGCCACCTCTCCAATGCATGATGCAGGAGAGTGTAAATATATACGTGTAAACTCGGGAGAGAATCCTCTCTCGTAGCCACCTCCCAGCTCCGCCGTCTTCGTTACTCCAAGCACCAGTTGATCGGGCTAAGAGTTGAGATCTAGTACAAAAGGAAATATATATAAATATATTTATATTTTTTAATGTAGTTAGAATAGTAGCTATAATCTTCATATATAAAGAGACATCATGTTATCGCCCCGACTAAGAAATCATGACTGGTCTGCTCTGATAGCTATGACTGATTTATTTCATAAATCAAGTAACTATTAATTTACTTATGTCAAATTTGTTATTTGGCAAGTTGTATTCACACAGAATCTTAAAAATGTAATGCTGAAGAAAATTTATTTAAAAGATCAAAACGCAAGTTTATTGCTTAGTTTAAGCTTACTATAAAATTGAAGAATTCGTTAACGATAATAATATTTTTATAGAAAAACTTTAAATCCATAGCACTAACAATATTATCTAATTACACTAATAATGAGTGCGTAGCGATTTCTATGTTGATTATCGCATGCCTCTTACTTGTTATACTGTAATTATTTATATAAAAAAACATCTATTACAAAGAGCAACAAACAAGTTTCTTGCTCATTCTTCTTATGATGAATCTGCATTCCGAATGTGTGGTAGAATCAAAATATGACTATTCAAAAGTGCTTGTAATGAGTTTATTTGCATAAAGATTATTTCTATTTCTATTGCTCATTCTTCTTGTGATGAGACTGCGTTTAGAATGATTATTCTGTAATAATTTTTGTTAACTGTATTTGTATAAAATTTTCTATTTTTTATCTGTAATCCTACAACCGCTTACAATGGAAGCTATACGTATTGTTGAGGTTAGACTGAGCTACCCAGACCAACTTGTACAGTATATCTCATATAATAAATAAATATATATATATATATATATATGTACATATATTATTTTTAGAACACTAATTGAGGCTTATATAATGTATTTATTAAGGATTATATTGTTAACATCTACTATTAGAAAAAAAGAGCGGATATTCTTATAAGAAAAGTAAATTCTAGAATCATTGGACCAATTTAAGAATTCTTTTATTATTTGACGTTATATTGTAATGATATTCGCTATATAGTACTCGCCATTAAATTAAATTTTGGAAGATTACGATTATATTTTATAAAAAAAAATCATTCGATCTCAATTTATTTAAGACTCACATGTATCATCAAAATGTAATTCAGATAAGCACGCGCAGCACACCTAAATTAACTTCAAGTAAATGAAATTGGTTAAATATAGAGGATGTTGAAAATAAACATAACTTTTTAAAAATTTAACATACCTTATTAAAGCAAAACATATGTGTATAACAATTCCCATCACATATATCTGGGCGAATGGAAATAGTGTGCTATGGAGATCCATAACGCCCCACGTCCCTCTCCATACGCTGACCACAAGCGGTGCAACCACAAAACACGCAAACACAGCGTCACCTGGTAACAATATGGTTATCATCATTATTACAACATAGTATAAAACAAAGTTGCTGTCGCTGTCTGTCCGTCCCTATGTATGGTTAAATCTTTAAAACTACGCAACGGATTTTGACGCTGTTTTGTTTTTAATAGATAGAGTGATTCAAGAGGAAGGTTTATATGTATAATACACGTACCCCCGGGCGAAGCCGGGGCGAGTACTCTGTGAGTAATAAATAAATGTATAAAAACAATAAAGACCCAGGACAATTTACGCGGCGGCGCGCTGGTAGATATGTGTATATACTTAAAAACATTTTGCGTACATAAATATACGGAAAATTCCCTGACAACTACAAACAGTTATATTGTGCTTGTAAGGAATCGAACCCGCGACCTTCAGAGGTAAGGCGGTGTATTATACCTGTTAAATCAACGAGGCCGTCAAATGTACAAATATCTATGATCATTTCATACGTTCCAGGTAACATTTTTTTCTATTTATCGTGGATAACTGTAATAGTCCAAGCGTGGTTAAATTTTAAAATCTTTACATACTTGTAATACAATTGAGACAGATGTTGATTGTCTGTATATGAAAAATATAGGAGAAATACAATTTTCGTCGTTTTGTCTGTGCATTTCTGCACGCTAATAAGAGAAATAGTATTAACGATTTAGTTACGGTTTTAGCTAATATGTTCCTCTTAAATTTGCTTACATTCCGTTTACAAAAATAAGTTACACCGGCACGGAATCGCGGTCTCAGCTAGCTGTATGTAAATTGTAAGAAAATTATTCTTATACCTAATAAATATTAGGTTTGAATAGTTTGTACAAGTCAATATTTTTCGAAATTGTCCACTTTTACACATAGGACGCATTTATCTTTATTCTATGGGCACAGGCAGGGGTTTAAACTTTGGCTTAGGCCGTTGTAACTTCGATCCTCCTTTTAATTGGACTAGTTTTTGATCGGAGGTGCAAATAAAAGTGTTGTGTGATTATTCCAGTGTTTATTTCTCATGTTTCTTCCTCATGTTTCTTCAACTTAAGTCAAGTTAGTTCTAAAAGTATTAGTTAATCAAAGACTAGATGTTTCATGACGACGTCGATGGCGTTTGGTGGCGTTTAGCGCAATACGTAGCCTTCCAATGCAGGCTCTATTCCCACTCAATACAATTATAATCCTTGTTTTGTTTCTATGTGGACCAAATAACGTATTGTACTTCGATTACAATATCTGTAATATATATAAATTTTACTTTTATTGTCTTTACTTTCTTTATCCACCCAAAGATAGTCTGGAAGAGATTGCTTAGCGATAGTACCGCATTTTGAACCAGTTAATGTATTTTTAGTGTTTTATATATTTGGTGCAGTAAAGTATACAAATAAAAAAATAATTAAACATCCTATACTATAGATTAATCTATAGAAAGTTAAACAAGGTTATATATCCAGGTCATGTACCTTATACTTTTTAGTATATGTATCATACTAATAAATGAATTCTAATTAGACTAATGGTTTACGCAGGTAAAGTCGCTGGCTGACAGCCAGCAAGACACTTGACAGCAAGTAGATAACATTTTAAACAGTAAAGAAGCAAAATGTGCAAACTTAACAGTAGATATATTTTTAAGTGCCTATTAACAATCGTAACAAGAGATATATTGCATGTAAAATCACAATTTCACGCTAACCGAGTTATTTTATTGAGTCATTTATTTTGCCACTGTTAGACATTGTTGTCTAATAACCAATTTTATCTAATCTATGTATATACTTAAATAAACACCATTATTATATGAATCATCATATTGTCAACATTATTACACAAAAACTTGACTTCTTCATAAATATCACGTACAGTAGTGTAATCGGTAATTTACTTTTAAATTTGCAATTTTTTTGATATTTTAATCGAGATTTTTTTCTAAACACAATTATCCAATATTACAATAATAATGTATTTTGTGAAAATTTCATCCTAATCCCAGCAGTTTTTTCTGGGACTCTAATACAGAAACTGTGAATTTAGGTTAAAGTTGCATCTTAACGATTTTATTATATTTAAATATAAATAAGAAAGAAGATAAATATTTGTATATATGCAAACATGACATTGGTTTTGATCATTGACCCAATAGTAATGAAATAAGTACATAATACCTATCACGGACAACGGCTACGACTACTCCCGTCGCACAGGAACAGAGCGCTTACATACCATTATGTCTATACTATTCTGAAGTGCCTACCTAATAAATAATCGTGTGACAGAGGGAGGGGTTTTTTTTAGTAACAGCAACTAGCCCCAGTGATGTCAATATAGACACTCTTTCAGATCGATCTCCATGCGTTCTCTTTAAGATACCGTATAGCTGGTGAAATAGCCATAATGGCCTAACCTGATTTCATCCTGATCAAATCATCCTCCACTGGTGCACTGCCGATGTAACCGTTATCCCAGCAGGTGCACTATTCTATGTTGATTCATCGAAAAATACGATAAGTAATAATCAAGAATATTTGGCATTTGTGAGAGGTCTAATTTAAATACTCGAATCAATCAACTCCGTTTTACACGTTAACTTCGTTTAATATCGTTGCTTCCATTCCTAGCAAGTCAGTTAAATACATAAATGAATGCTATGATGTTTGATTATAGTTAAAATCAAAGTTGAGACCTTTTTGATTTGTAAATTATTGTAGTAAACCACTAGATTACAATATTCAGTACTAAATACCTGTACCGTAGCTAACTTCATTGCAATCACAGTCCTCGTCGCCAGGATCACTTGCAGTATCTGACGTTTTCTCTGAAATCTTGGGTATCACTTGAGGCAATAAATTCTCCGATAAACTTGTCGCCATCTTGAAATAAACAGATTACAAGAGGTTTTTAATTTACTTAACATTGGGGTATAATTATCCTGAAAGTTAACTTAGCACCTACTGTTTTATGAAATCTATAACAACTAATAACAAGTATAATCTCCTGCAAATTATTAGTTTCAAAGAAAACAGACGTCATCATACAGTAATATTTTCATTTTACCTTTTAAGTTCGAAGTCCTAAAAACTATTAAAATAGCTAAATAATAAAATTGAAAATAACGATATAAATTGACAATAATCTATTAGTAGATGTAAAACAGTTATAAAACAAATCGCAATCATAAAATATGACTTGATAATCACACAGATTTGTAGGTATAAATGAAAGACTCACCTCTTCTTGCACTTTCCCCATAGCACTGTTTATTATGAAATTTATAAAAGGAAAACGTAAATATTATAGTACTCTATGCTTAACAATAAATGTGTCCATTTGAAACTGAATAGGAATATACTCTTTGACTTAAAAAAAAAAGAAAATTGGCGCGAACAGCTGACAGCTGTGAACGAACCAAACGTTCTATACCAGGATCAACGATTGATTGAGTCGAGAGCTGTGCAACCACTATAGTTGATGTGATACATTTCGCATGCCTAAAGCTGAAAGGTAATTACGCTTTTTTTCTACAATGCTCAGGCACGGTTCAATGTTTTTTTTGTGTTATAAATTTACGTTATTTACGTATCTCGACGTAATATTAATGACTTAAAAAGGAAGAAAAACTCTATTCGATATTATCTACTTTTACATTACCTTCTTCTATTTTCATAAACTTTTCTATGTTTCTTCTATATTCTGTCTAGATTGAAGACTAAAGTCCTGATAGAACAAAATCTTAATCAATTTCAACGTTTATTTAATTGAACTTCGTATGTTTTTGGTAATTTAGCCCGTTATGAATTCTATTTCAGTATTAGAGCCCTCTGTAATCTCTTTCATATTAAGAAAACGACTCTACAGAATATGATAAAGCAGCTCAGTCATTAAAATAAGACTATTAATTAAATTGTTTTTATTATGCATCTTTACATTTTACATTCTTTTATTTACAGAATATATAACAACGCTCTTTGCATGCAGATAGTTCCTTGTAATTGTAAAATATGCAGATTTACGAAACATTTTACTGTTTTTGTTGTAGGCTGATCAACCATAGCCAATTACTGAAACTGTTTGCCGTTAATATATTAAGGAGATGTTAATGTTGTTTTATTATTTATATTTTATGACCACTTTACTTTTTATAATAAAAAGTATGCTAATTATTACAATTACCTCTATGGTATAAGACTAAGCGCCGTTCGCTTTTGTTAGAATGAGCATAATTAAAAATCAACTCCCGTCGAGTTGATTTTTAATTGTGCTCTTTCTAACAAAACCTTTTCTTTTTTTCATCTATAATGTAGTGATTGTTTAAGGACTTTGTACATATATACTTATGTTGAAAGACAAAAATAGGTATAATGACATTTTAAACACTTATGCATATGAATACTGTTAATGTTTTATATATAAGTACATCATTTTAAGCCGAAAAGCGGAGTCTGAAGTCCTTGCTTTAAACATCGGTGAATCTATTGCTTTGTCTTCTTAAGTTATCTTGCCTGTGCTTTGTTCCCACGTAACAATACACACGATAGCGGTAGATAAACGATAAATTTCCAATAAACGTCTTAACCCTGAACTTGACTTATAACAAAAACGTAATGATTTTATGAAGAAAAAACCATGTTACAATTGATTCTCGTCGACAGAATTTTCTGGCCAAAATAGAAAAAACACATTTCTATTGTATCTGTGATATTACGTGATTTTCGTTTAACAAAACGATTAAGTTTTTGTATTAAATAATGTGGTTTAACTCTATATTGTGGTATTACATCTTTTTTCGTCTAGTCTATTTATATAATAATAATAATATACTTGCAAACAAATATTATTATTAGGTATATATAGGTAAAAATTACTTATATTTAATAATACATAATATACCTTCATGACTAATCCCTGATGGGGTAGTTAGAGTCATTGTTAACTGTTGTAGTCGTCAACGTAACACTGGACATGTTCACATTTCTATGTGTATATTTGATTCTTCCCTTGCAGAGAGCGATCATACCGCCACCTATCGGATCAATGTGATTTGTTATCAAACTTTCCAACGCCAAAGTGTTAGTCAGAAATATAAATGAACAAATATTTTTTGTGTCGGCCAGATTCGAACTGACATTTATAACAAGATCTTTGGCGTTAAGTCTAGTTGTAAATCACTAGGCCATGAGCCGCTCGTTTTTTTTCATCTGATCTGTTTTGGTTAGATAATAGCTAATTACTTACTGACATCAATAATGATAGCGGTGACACTTGTAATAAATCTAAGAGATTTAATTAATCTACTTCAAAAATCTCAACAACAACCACGATGGTCAAAGGGTTTAGCACAACGCTTTTTCGTCCGATAGTCGCGTGTTCAATTTCTAGCATAAGACACATTTGTATTCATGACTACGATTGTTTGTATTGGTCTGGGTGCTTTTTATGTATGTTTTGTATGTATTGACAAAAAATGTATTCAATTATTTCTATCAGTTATCTAGGACCTATATAACAAGCACTGCTTAGCTTGGGACTAGACTAGTCTATAATAGACCTACATAAATAAAGATATTTTTATTTGATTTTGAGAATCCACTGTACCCTGTAATTTCACTGCTATAATTCAGCCTTCAATCGAAATACATCTCATAAAGTCATACATCATATTTATTAGGTTACTGTAGGCGACGCACTACGTTATCAAAATATTGTATATCTTTTATTTTTAATTAGTTAATTTTATTATTATATGTACGTATATATACATAAATATACACGATACGTCGTTCTTTGTCATTTTTTAATAAATACATATGAGGGTGCGCAGAATGTAATTAATATATTTATATTAAACGTAGAAAACGGGTAGATTTCTACCCGTTTTCTACACAATATTGTAGTCGGATTCAGACGATCGCGGTGACGCTCGGTGTCACATATAAAATAAGTGCGTGCTCTCAGTTTGTGAAAATAAGTCGGTGTTTTAGTTCCATCCTTTACAGTTACCATATACTTGTACACAGGGAGAAGGGGATAGTTAGTGATGTGGATTGTTGACTCCATTGCTAGCAATGTACCATGTCAAGTGGTCCTGGAAATCATCGTGGTAAATTGCCATTTCCAACTGATCTAACTACAGTCTCATTTTATCATCCTCCGCTGCTGCCCCTCCAGCGTAAACGGTTAACTGCCTGCGTTAACGGTTGCCTGCCTGGAATGAACCTACATCATTCCATTATCATATATAAAAAATGCCATTCACATATCAATACATACTACACAACTATTGCCTTCAAGGCCTCTACAGGTTATACATAATAGGTAAATAAAATATTTTTTTTCTCATACAAATTTTTATGTTGATATAATTTTATTGATACATATAAACAATCTTAGAACGTGAAGTTCAGACGTTATAATATACATTTATTGTTCACAGAAAACGAATTATTGCAGCGATTACAATAGTATTATACAAACCAACAAATAGAATAGTTTCACAGCCAAGCACACATTTAGAATAAATTTATATATATCTAGAGACGTTCCTTACGTGTATGTTATTTTGGTAGAAAAACACGATTTATTATTTTGGAAACATTTTTGGGGCTTAGTGTACTAAATTACAATCATCCTCAATATATGAGACTCATCAATTGATGTCCAATTACAACCTTAAAAATCGTATTTAGCATTATGTACAAAGCATCTCAGTAATAAATAAATAAATATAGGACAATAGTCTAGCATTTTGAAAATTATAAAAACTTTAAATAGTATTAGGCAGTTGATATACGGTCGGTAAGCCGCAAAAGATACCAAAACGGAGTTCATTCGTTACGTTAGTCGCATTCAGGCATCCTGACGACTAACCGACAGTATACCAACCGTCGTAAAGTCCAACCGACTAGATATTACGACTGGACCAAAATTGTATATATAAAAAAATACTACTGATTAATGTAGTTTCTATTATGGTTACAGTTTCAACTAATTTATTATCGAAACCGAAAAGAACAGAAACGTTTAAAGTAGGCTCACAATATTACTCGTACCGACGACGCTCAACAATTTGGATCGGACATTATTAATAATCGTATCGCTTGACTGTGGAATCTACAGAATTTTCGACTAAATTTATATAGATATTTCGGAACTTTGCAAGAGAGAGATTAACTACATTCTTAAGGCTACATACAACAATTTTGCTAACAACTTTTCCATAACTACTTATACTTTAAAAACTTCAAGTTTATAGTTTTAATAACAGTACCTACTTAACAATGGTAAAATAGGTATTAGACTTATAGAAAGAATACTGCATTCAACGCTTTGAAATAGATAAAGTGCAGGCATAACACAAAAAATAAGTTCTATTATTGTTTAACTTCTTTTATTATAACTTTTCGATCTTCCGAATTTAATTTAACTGAATTAATTTCTCGATAATTAAGAATAATATGAAATATCTGTATGCAGGTATTAATTAGTATCATTACAAGAGATCACATTATATGTACAACTTTATATGTATAGTAAAATCTCAGAGATGTCAGAGTAAGAGCGTAAAGTAGAGAGAGAGATTGAGCCTGCTAGAAAATTCGCAACACATGTACGCTATTGAACGTTTGAGAAAGAAAAAAATAGTACCTATATTGATGTGTCACTTGTTCCTTACCCACAAGTAGCCTTTGCCTGACAATAATCCTAAGACCAATGCATAAATTTCTAGTACATTTACACATAGATAGATTATTGTAGGTCCTGATTTGCTTTTCCACTTCTCCGATATTAAACTTCTAGGCAATTAACAAATTGATTCACGCCTAAGTACGGAAATCTTAATTTTTATGATCGAAAATTTTACGAAAATGCTAAGGTTAATAAAGCCATTGCTTGTACCATTACTGGGAGATATTTAGAAATCTTTTGCCACCCGTCTCGTGTCTCTGAGGATCTAATATGGCCGTGGGATATTTAACAATAGGATAATGAAACAATACATCATAATCAGTAAAGAAGGTACTCAGACACCTTAGTTTAGATATTTTTGATTTTTTAGATTTAGTTAACAATAGAAAATATGACTTAAGTATCAGCTCTGTAGATATTATACCGGCCTGTAAATCTAGCTCAGACGTTGTTTCAATAGTTGATATTGTAGTCGTAAATAAAGTTTGTTTTAATAAAGTTACTTAATATGAAAGGGAATGTAGAAAATGATCGAACAAAATATGAATGGAATGTGTCAAAGAGGAAAACATACATAAAAGAAGAGCAAGCAAAGATACAGCAGTTAAAGGACGATGTACTGGGGAGGCATATTTGGACTGCCATCTGTAGTCGCCCCCTATCGTTAGGTGAAGTTATAAAGACTAGCTGAGCCCAACAGAATTAGAATACTTCGAAAAAAAAAGACATACTACGTTTGAAGAGGACGATGTATTTTTAAAATAATAACATATAAACAAACCAATAATGATAATTCTAATTTAACTTTTATTGGACTTAAAATTAAATAAAATAGATCCATGACCCTTAACTGTATTATAATACTCATCGACCGTGGCCATTTTAGACCGTCTGATATTTAAAGATTGTACAAGTAGATCTAGCTAAATAACAAACTAACTACAATAACAGCTTATTATAACATTTTAACATATACATTACATTGTATCTCTCTTCGACATCAATTAACATGTATACTTGACGTAAAGTTTAGCTATTACTTATTTACTTTATTAGTAAGCTCTTTAAAGTTAAAAGTCGATTATAGGAGTGAATAAAAATAACCCTTAAATAACCCCTTCTCTGTCTGCCTTAATCTTTAGTATTAAAGATAATCAAGTACTTAGTGATAGATGAAGAGCATTTAAAATAAAAGATACCATAGACCTATTAATCAGATATTTTTTCCAGTGCTGTCTGTGGCACCTATTATTATAAATGCTCAATAAAAATATATAGCCGTAACCAAATAATGCTAATTTTAGTACAGTGCCATAGTTACAAATTGATAACGGGTTTAGAAGAATAATGAAACGAAAAATATAACTATTTGTCAACTTTCGTTGAATTCAGATAAATGTATTGATTTATCCCAATTCAATGACAAATATTTATTGCTGGTAACTGACAAACACATTACTACTTCGTTTCGGTTGAAAGTTAGGAATCTACCAAATAGTCAGGAATATTACCAAATAGCAAACGTACGACGCGCCGTACAGTGAAATATTACAAATTATATCCGAATAAACACAGAAGTGCTAGAGAATACTCATTTTTATTGAATAAAAAGTACGAAAGAAATCATGTTTTATTTTATTTGAAATCTAGTTTTAAAAACTAAATGTATAATACTATAATAATATATATGCTTATTAAAACCAATTAAATATCATAAAGATATATATACTCGCCAGCACTGTACCTACTATATTCATGCTAGCGTTATTTGGAAGTAAAAATGATTATATTATAAGAGCTATACTAGAAGAAAGATTCAGGCGAGCCATAGCAATTATCTAATCTTAACCTCCATCAAACTTACATGTGCGTTTGTGTAAGATATGTAAATATTTTCAAACAACAAAGATACATTGAGTACATATTATACTTATTTAGAATATATATAACTGAGTTGGAATTGTAGAATGTCCGTGAAATGATAGTTTTCGTCAGTGATATTTCCTATTTAATAATTTACTGAAATACTCGTATAAACTGTTTTTTCTTATATTGCTATGTATTTAAGGTACCAAATTTTTTATATCCTTTTTTGTTAAAATATGTTTTTCATTTCAAAGAACGTGTCAGTCTAACGGTTAAAATTTGTTTTTAATATAAATAAATAGGTTTTAACAAAAATTTTTAACTACATATATGATATGGAGTGTATCAGTTTGATATTGTGTTTTTGGATCAATCAATAAAATATGGTCAATCCTCTCTACCTCTACTGAGACTAAATCTGCGATGAAATTTAAAACCTTTCTTTTTCTCCTGTTTATCTTCTAGGGGTTTACTGTCAACAAGATTATCAGCACTCTTAGCAACTTGTACGCTTTTTCTTCTATTTTTCATTGACTTAACGAGTTTATAGAATTTGCCTTTTTTCTTAGTTGGGTCTTGGGTTAAATCTGGCAGTTCCTCTTCTACTTCTACGCTGAATTCTGATGATATGTCTCCAAGATCTTCAACGCTGTGGCTTTCAATTTCTCTTGTTGACGGCACTACTAGCTTATTTTTAGAGGTGTCCGGTTTCGGTTCCTCCGGAGGAGGCGGTGCGTCAGGGTCTATGCACTGAAAATAAAATTAAACATACACTTTCGACATGAAGCTTTACGTAACGCTAGAAAGAAAGCAATAGGGGCTATAATTTTGTTAAGTCTATTTCGAGGAAGAAAAGAGATGAAGATGAAGATGTAAGAATTTTAGAAGGCACTCAGAACGTGCTATCTTTGAAGACAAGCAGACGACATTGTAAAATATTCCTCGTATCTATATTCTAAGATTTTAACTATATTTTATTCATGATATAACATCCAAAAATCTTTATAGAATTTCACATATAGGTGTAATATTTTTTATAGATTATGATGGAATAATTGATCCGCCTGCACTACGCGCTATTTTAGCTAGGAGGCACTAGTGTAAGATTGTCTACAGAAGGCCCTAATTCAGGGGCGATTTTCAAGCAGTGGTGCGGAGCGATCAAGATCGCCTTTAATTTCCATGTCGCTGAAATCGTTTAGGGAAAGCCTACTATCTAGAGGTGTTTGTGATTGTGATCAGCATATGAAGCATATGAAGAAAGCCTTGAGGCATGAGGATGAAGTTGGATCAATAGCGTATCAATAAATATCTACAATTTATTGAGTTTAAAAAACAGCGCGGATTTTTTATGTCGAATTATATTTTTTTAAGTAATTAGGTATTACCAGTTAGGCATTCCACGCTCTTTGAATCGTTTACAAATAATACGATGAATAAATTTAGGTGAAATTGCGACGGAACTTTCTTTTGAAATTCCCAAACGATGAGTTCGAGAGTGTTTGAAAGTTTTCAAAGAATCCGTTACCCTGTTAATGTAATTGGATTTTGTGGAATATAAAGGGTTAGAAATGTTCAAGAAAAATCTTCTGCCTCGAGATAAGATGTTCATGCAAACATAAACAGGTTCTTGAAGAAAATGTCATGAATAATAAAGCTACACATATACAATACAACTTTATTGAGGTTGTATGTTTTTACAGTGGCTACCTTTGTCTCATCCATTTCAGCTGCCAAGCAGCTTGCTTCGTAAAGTGTATTTCTATTAAAAGGTATAGAGTCATTGAAGAAGACTAAGCTGACTCTGTTAACACATGTCTGTAGTATATCGTGTCATTTATATTGTTCAAGTATATAAGCGATGCCACTTATAGCTTATAAGTGAACCTTCAGTTTATTTGCCATTCCATTAAATAATAACTACGACTAACTCTTACCCATAACATTGTCCACTGTTACCAAAACCTAACTTGATAAATAGTTACCATGTCAATGTTTATTTCCGGAACAAAAAGTCATCAACTCATCAAAGTTATATCCAGTCAGTCTCTCTCCATACAAAATTATGGTTATTACACCAGGAGCATTTTACCCTTCAAGTTTTATATTCTCCTGACTAAAGCTTTTCTACATCCTTCTTAATGATGTCAAGCAATCCTGCTTGCCTCTAAGATATTACATAACATGACATGATTCTATATATTATGATCCCGCAATCATATATGATTGTCATCTTTTCTTGCAAAAATGTAGCGAGTCGCGCCTACCAGATAAGTAAGTCATATTTGTAACAAAATGGGCATCACGTAAGATATATGCAGAAAAACAACAGCTCAGAAAAATAAATTACTACCATTCATCTGTACCTACGCTAGAAAGATGACATCTGTATACATGTACATCATTTGGAATCGTAACTCCTAAATTTACCACCATGAATTACAAAACAAATTTCTATATTAAAATAGTAACGTAAAGTTTTTACGAGATTTTATAAATTGTTATCAAAGAGTTATAAAAATATTAATATTCTTTTGTATAACTTTGATTTCATTACAAAATTAAACATTTCTAAGGGGTATATTAAAAACAGTAGTTATCACTGCGTACATATAAAAAAACATCGTCTACTGGACTATCAACATAGCGCATACGCTTGAAGCTCGAAACTTGACTTTGGACTTAGGTAGGTAAGTATACGCGAAATTCCTGGGAATGGAATATAACTTAAACATATATTTAACAGTAAATGAGATTCCAACGCAAACGTAAACTTGTGTACATAACAAACAACATAATTGCTTTTCCCCAAACCTGTGAATGTAGGTCAAAATGTCTTCAAAAGTTAAAGGCAGTCTCCTAATACTGACTAACTAATTATAACAGTTGTTCAACTGTAAAATCTAAACTGTATAAGCTATTTAACTGTTTTTATAGTGTAATATTTTTAAATATGAATCAGAATGAATGAATGAAGTCATTTTTAGCCTCTTTGCTAAATTTTCTTGAATACTTTGGCTCGTTGTGTTATATTCAAGAGGTCCAGTCCAGAGCTGCAGACGGCTCCATTTCATCATTAAAGATTAACCGTTTGAGTGCCACGCCTTTTCATGAATGTGTGCACAAAAAAGCCAAAATTGATTTTAATGTCATTTATAAATTTTCCTGCAAAAAATCTGTATCTTGAACCATTGTCCAATTTTAATCATGTCTTCCCTGCGGAGCGCTAGATGCTAGTCTAGGAGCGCTATTGCGCTCTTAGGAACTCTACCAAGTAAATTAAAAAAAACATACGATCTAACACTAATAAAAAAGTTCTTACATCGGCTAATGAAATCCTATACGATGGCACTTGCTCAGGGTGCCTCCAGGGCTTATGGTAGGGTAGATCTGTCAGAGCCTTCCAACCAGGATATCGCCGTGCTGCAGCATGCAGTTGGTGAACAAGGCGTGGAGCCAGCTGCGCCGTCACCCTGCCAACATTTAAACCATCCACAGACTTAGATACCTAATATAGTATATATTTTTCTAATTGGAATGATAAACAAGATAACTTTAAAGCAAAGCTACTCGTAAAACATTGATTTCAAAAATATAGATGTCCATCAGAATTTTACAAACATTAAATTAATTAGAGAAGATATATTTGAAAATATAATGAGATGGTAGATATGTCCTAGAATGAAGACTGCGTAATGGCAAACGTAGCGTACCTACACTCCCCGCAGCTAAGTAGAGCGACGATAGAGCTAAAGATCGTACCCAGCTTTGCTATATCCAGCAGTTGATGATAATATAGCTATAAAATATATACCCTGAACATGAATAAATATACACATGGTAGTTGTAAACATGCGACATGTAAAAATAATTAGCATTGCCGCCGAGAGCGTGTCTGGAGCAATTAAGGTAGCACAAATTAGAACAATGTTCATATACAAAACTATTATATTTTATTACTCACTCTAGCCGTGTACATTATTTATAAATAACTAGCTATACGTCCCGGCTGCGAACGGGTTTGATAACAATGTAAACAACTGCAAAAGTGTAAGTAATTTTTGTATTCATACCATTTAATCATATTGTATTACTTTTCCATATCTTTTTTTAATATTTTCTTTTATACAGTCCTGACAACTGAACAATCAGAAAATAAACATGTCCAGGCATTATGCATTAATCACAATTGTTGATATGATAAATGATTGAGATTGTTTCTAGTTTTACAAAGTCTATATACCTCACTTTTTATTTGTTAAATCGCACCTTTACAATTGATTTTGAAGTTAGTGCAACTGAGCCGATGACGAATTCCGGTATAAAGAATAGGATATAGTATAATTAAAGGGTATGAAAGAAATACACATATTCATATTGTGATCTCGTCTGGATGTTTTCCAAGTATAATGTACGCATTTCCAAAGGAGAATGTATCGAAGTATTCTATCAGTAATATATACCATATTACTGACCATAACACAGATCTGCTTAGGTAATAGATAGAGCTGTGTGAATCATCCATGATTATTAAAATAATATTTAGGTAACGGTCTATATTTCATAAGAGAGATCGTCAGCTTGCTTCCCATTCAAATAACATTGAATAAACAACCGTTGAAAATAAATAGCTTAATTTCTTGCCATTTTATTTAACAGATTTTATCATTGCCATATTTAATACCATCTACGGAGACGCAGTTACATTTACACTTATACTTGATTTTTACAATTATATAATGCTTACATACAATGAAATAGGCGCGTCATAACATGCAGTGTATGATTTTGCATAGCAAAATAAACAAAAATAAGGATTACAGACTTCATAACAAACTTAATAACTACTACATCGTCACAATTTACAACATCGTATTATTTATCATGTAACATTCTCACCTGTTGACCAACCAAGCTGGTAATGCTCCACGAGGGTCTGATCTGGACACGTAGCCCAGCCAGCTCCCACTAGTGGTCCGTGTGCGCACAACGAAGCCAGTAAGAAGAGACAATGCCCTGTCAATGGGTAAAAGATTTCGTTTAATAAAAAATATTGTGTAATAATGTATTGTGAATTATTTGTCTTAATGTGGAGGTTATAGAAGAGTAAGCGAGAGCTAGTAGAAACTAAAACTTAAAAGTAAACCTTATTCAAATAATCTCAGTAATAACTATTTTAATATATATATATATTTGTGTAGGTACATCATAATTAATACGGTAAGCAAAATTTCGTACCCTCTTTTACAAAAAAATACGCGAACTATTGAGAATAATATTCGATATATGGCTAGTGTACATATAAAATCCCATCAAAAACATAAATGTGAAATGATAGCCGAGTTTAATATTATGATATATGGCTTGATTGTTGACTTCTACGACAAAAGAGATGAGATCTAAATGGGTGCCAAGTTCAATGGTCTGTCCTGAAATGTATTTATAACAATATAAAATATCATTTCTTCTTATAACTTAGGATAATATACTGTAGCCTAAGGTCTAACTTGGCCAGTTCTCATATACCAATTATTACTTTCGATTGCTAGTTACTATTAATATTAAAATAGGAACCGACAAGTAACATGTTTAGAACTTGCGAAGGCTACAGTATATTTCGTATATGAAAACTAGCCAAGTTAGACCTTAGGCTACAGTATATTATCCTAAGTTATAAGAAGAAATGATATTTTATATTGTTATAAATACATTTCAGGACAGACCATTGAACTTGGCACCCATTTAGATCTCATCTCTTTTGTCGTAGAAGTCAACAATCAAGGCATATATCATAATATTAAACTCGGCTATCATTTCACATTTATGTTTTTGATGGGATATCATTACTTTTTGTACATAAATTATACTAGGTACATATTTATAACTAAATTAATACCAAATTATTTTTGATAAATTACTGTATTTTCGTATATTTACGGGGTATAATTGTCTTTTTTTTGTGTTATTTTCTATATTTTCTTGTAACTTTTAAATGTTGAAGTCCAAAGCCAATTCAGTATCAGGAATTTTTGGGCAAATCGGGGCGGTATAACGTCCACAGATGGTTGTACTCTACAATAGAGCTCTCGTGACTTGGATCTAAACTGTTAAGACGTACCCCATCTAAGGTTTTAACTCTGGAGAGTCCAACGTAAACCTGCCCTTTATTAAATATGGAGGAGCCTATGTTGAGAAGAGGACTGCCAAAACTAAGGCCTTGTGATTTGTGGATAGTAATAGCATATGTTAAGCAAATACGGAATTGTTCTCTTTCAACATATACATTATTTAATATCTGAAACTTCGTATTGACACGTTATAGTTCGTAAAGACGATTATGTAACAAATTGACTGTTATCTATTGAATTCTCAAGAAAACAATTTGTTACCAATGAGTTCTCATTCTCGAGTTAACTATACATTCCTACTTATAACTATACTAAAATTGTTATTAATTTTTGGTTTAAACTATTGTCTATACCATACGTATTTACTAAGATAATGTAATAATAATATAACCACAAATATATAAGTATAATTTAAGAAAGCTATAAATTTCGTAGCATAAATCGCAACCTTATAGGTTAGATATCGAGAAACAAAACATTGAGACATATGAGGGCGGCTGCCATTCGCTCGGACAGGTTCGCGTCAACGTTTTATCGCACCGCTCCCACACGGCGCCGCCGCGGCGCCCTATACCGAAATGTCTATTATTTAATAATTATTTATAAAAATAATGATTTTACACTATCGATGTGCGCTAAATATTGAAATAATAATTAATACCAAATCTCAGTTAATAACATAATAAATACGAAATTCGACTATACTCCTAGTTATAAGTACGAGTATATTTTAGACAGAATCTAAATTATAGCAACTAGTGTTTATCGCTCAATGCAATATTTGAAGTTTGCTAGTTATCGACACTGATGTGAAGGGGTCAACGTAAATTGGTAATGATCGACGTTTTCATACAATATTACTTTCCGTCCAGTACAAGATGAAATTTTTCGCCAGGGATCAATGTCAATTGGTGTATATCGACGTTTTCATAGAATTTTAGTCTTCGTCCAGTATAAGTTGAAATATAATCAATTAAAGTGAAAAATTGTAGTAAAATGATAACAATTTACCAGTTTCAGATTTTTTCCTTTATATTCACCTAATTACCTATCTGCATGCCAAATTTGAACTTCCTAGGTCATCTGGAAGTGGGTTATAATTTTGATCTATAGTTGATCAGTGATAAAAATGACGATTTTTGGACATTAATATCTAAATAACCGTTTGAGATAGGTTTATGAAATTTGGAACACATATTTATCTCGCAAGTCTCAATATATGAACCAAATTTGACAGGTTTGTGTGATAGAGTTTTTGAGTTATGAGGGGGTCAAAAGTGGCTCCAAATGGTTCGTGTAAATATACACACGGTGCTGCAAGCCAGTTTACTTGATTTTTAATTGTGCTCTTTCTAACAAAACCTTTTCTTTTTTTCATCTATAATGTAGTGATTGTTTAAGGACTTTGTACATATATACTTATGTTGAAAGACAAAAATAGGTATAATGACATTTTAAACACTTATGCATATGAATACTGTTAATGTTTTATATATAAGTACATCATTTTAAGCCGAAAAGCGGAGTCTGAAGTCCTTGCTTTAAACATCGGTGAATCTATTGCTTTGTCTTCTTAAGTTATCTTGCCTGTGCTTTGTTCCCACGTAACAATACACACGATAGCGGTAGATAAACGATAAATTTCCAATAAACGTCTTAACCCTGAACTTGACTTATAACAAAAACGTAATGATTTTATGAAGAAAAAACCATGTTACAATTGATTCTCGTCGACAGAATTTTCTGGCCAAAATAGAAAAAACACATTTCTATTGTATCTGTGATATTACGTGATTTTCGTTTAACAAAACGATTAAGTTTTTGTATTAAATAATGTGGTTTAACTCTATATTGTGGTATTACATCTTTTTTCGTCTAGTCTATTTATATAATAATAATAATATACTTGCAAACAAATATTATTATTAGGTATATATAGGTAAAAATTACTTATATTTAATAATACATAATATACCTTCATGACTAATCCCTGATGGGGTAGTTAGAGTCATTGTTAACTGTTGTAGTCGTCAACGTAACACTGGACATGTTCACATTTCTATGTGTATATTTGATTCTTCCCTTGCAGAGAGCGATCATACCGCCACCTATCGGATCAATGTGATTTGTTATCAAACTTTCCAACGCCAAAGTGTTAGTCAGAAATATAAATGAACAAATATTTTTTGTGTCGGCCAGATTCGAACTGACATTTATAACAAGATCTTTGGCGTTAAGTCTAGTTGTAAATCACTAGGCCATGAGCCGCTCGTTTTTTTTCATCTGATCTGTTTTGGTTAGATAATAGCTAATTACTTACTGACATCAATAATGATAGCGGTGACACTTGTAATAAATCTAAGAGATTTAATTAATCTACTTCAAAAATCTCAACAACAACCACGATGGTCAAAGGGTTTAGCACAACGCTTTTTCGTCCGATAGTCGCGTGTTCAATTTCTAGCATAAGACACATTTGTATTCATGACTACGATTGTTTGTATTGGTCTGGGTGCTTTTTATGTATGTTTTGTATGTATTGACAAAAAATGTATTCAATTATTTCTATCAGTTATCTAGGACCTATATAACAAGCACTGCTTAGCTTGGGACTAGACTAGTCTATAATAGACCTACATAAATAAAGATATTTTTATTTGATTTTGAGAATCCACTGTACCCTGTAATTTCACTGCTATAATTCAGCCTTCAATCGAAATACATCTCATAAAGTCATACATCATATTTATTAGGTTACTGTAGGCGACGCACTACGTTATCAAAATATTGTATATCTTTTATTTTTAATTAGTTAATTTTATTATTATATGTACGTATATATACATAAATATACACGATACGTCGTTCTTTGTCATTTTTTAATAAATACATATGAGGGTGCGCAGAATGTAATTAATATATTTATATTAAACGTAGAAAACGGGTAGATTTCTACCCGTTTTCTACACAATATTGTAGTCGGATTCAGACGATCGCGGTGACGCTCGGTGTCACATATAAAATAAGTGCGTGCTCTCAGTTTGTGAAAATAAGTCGGTGTTTTAGTTCCATCCTTTACAGTTACCATATACTTGTACACAGGGAGAAGGGGATAGTTAGTGATGTGGATTGTTGACTCCATTGCTAGCAATGTACCATGTCAAGTGGTCCTGGAAATCATCGTGGTAAATTGCCATTTCCAACTGATCTAACTACAGTCTCATTTTATCATCCTCCGCTGCTGCCCCTCCAGCGTAAACGGTTAACTGCCTGCGTTAACGGTTGCCTGCCTGGAATGAACCTACATCATTCCATTATCATATATAAAAAATGCCATTCACATATCAATACATACTACACAACTATTGCCTTCAAGGCCTCTACAGGTTATACATAATAGGTAAATAAAATATTTTTTTTCTCATACAAATTTTTATGTTGATATAATTTTATTGATACATGTAAACAATCTTAGAACGTGAAGTTCAGACGTTATAATATACATTTATTGTTCACAGAAAACGAATTATTGCAGCGATTACAATAGTATTATACAAACCAACAAATAGAATAGTTTCACAGCCAAGCACACATTTAGAATAAATTTATATATATCTAGAGACGTTCCTTACGTGTATGTTATTTTGGTAGAAAAACACGATTTATTATTTTGGAAACATTTTTGGGGCTTAGTGTACTAAATTACAATCATCCTCAATATATGAGACTCATCAATTGATGTCCAATTACAACCTTAAAAATCGTATTTAGCATTATGTACAAAGCATCTCAGTAATAAATAAATAAATATAGGACAATAGTCTAGCATTTTGAAAATTATAAAAACTTTAAATAGTATTAGGCAGTTGATATACGGTCGGTAAGCCGCAAAAGATACCAAAACGGAGTTCATTCGTTACGTTAGTCGCATTCAGGCATCCTGACGACTAACCGACAGTATACCAACCGTCGTAAAGTCCAACCGACTAGATATTACGACTGGACCAAAATTGTATATATAAAAAAAATACTACTGATTAATGTAGTTTCTATTATGGTTACAGTTTCAACTAATTTATTATCGAAACCGAAAAGAACAGAAACGTTTAAAGTAGGCTCACAATATTACTCGTACCGACGACGCTCAACAATTTGGATCGGACATTATTAATAATCGTATCGCTTGACTGTGGAATCTACAGAATTTTCGACTAAATTTATATAGATATTTCGGAACTTTGCAAGAGAGAGATTAACTACATTCTTAAGGCTACATACAACAATTTTGCTAACAACTTTTCCATAACTACTTATACTTTAAAAACTTCAAGTTTATAGTTTTAATAACAGTACCTACTTAACAATGGTAAAATAGGTATTAGACTTATAGAAAGAATACTGCATTCAACGCTTTGAAATAGATAAAGTGCAGGCATAACACAAAAAATAAGTTCTATTATTGTTTAACTTCTTTTATTATAACTTTTCGATCTTCCGAATTTAATTTAACTGAATTAATTTCTCGATAATTAAGAATAATATGAAATATCTGTATGCAGGTATTAATTAGTATCATTACAAGAGATCACATTATATGTACAACTTTATATGTATAGTAAAATCTCAGAGATGTCAGAGTAAGAGCGTAAAGTAGAGAGAGAGATTGAGCCTGCTAGAAAATTCGCAACACATGTACGCTATTGAACGTTTGAGAAAGAAAAAAATAGTACCTATATTGATGTGTCACTTGTTCCTTACCCACAAGTAGCCTTTGCCTGACAATAATCCTAAGACCAATGCATAAATTTCTAGTACATTTACACATAGATAGATTATTGTAGGTCCTGATTTGCTTTTCCACTTCTCCGATATTAAACTTCTAGGCAATTAACAAATTGATTCACGCCTAAGTACGGAAATCTTAATTTTTATGATCGAAAATTTTACGAAAATGCTAAGGTTAATAAAGCCATTGCTTGTACCATTACTGGGAGATATTTAGAAATCTTTTGCCACCCGTCTCGTGTCTCTGAGGATCTAATATGGCCGTGGGATATTTAACAATAGGATAATGAAACAATACATCATAATCAGTAAAGAAGGTACTCAGACACCTTAGTTTAGATATTTTTGATTTTTTAGATTTAGTTAACAATAGAAAATATGACTTAAGTATCAGCTCTGTAGATATTATACCGGCCTGTAAATCTAGCTCAGACGTTGTTTCAATAGTTGATATTGTAGTCGTAAATAAAGTTTGTTTTAATAAAGTTACTTAATATGAAAGGGAATGTAGAAAATGATCGAACAAAATATGAATGGAATGTGTCAAAGAGGAAAACATACATAAAAGAAGAGCAAGCAAAGATACAGCAGTTAAAGGACGATGTACTGGGGAGGCATATTTGGACTGCCATCTGTAGTCGCCCCCTATCGTTAGGTGAAGTTATAAAGACTAGCTGAGCCCAACAGAATTAGAATACTTCGAAAAAAAAAAGACATACTACGTTTGAAGAGGACGATGTATTTTTAAAATAATAACATATAAACAAACCAATAATGATAATTCTAATTTAACTTTTATTGGACTTAAAATTAAATAAAATAGATCCATGACCCTTAACTGTATTATAATACTCATCGACCGTGGCCATTTTAGACTCGTCTGATATTTAAAGATTGTACAAGTAGATCTAGCTAAATAACAAACTAACTACAATAACAGCTTATTATAACATTTTAACATAACATTACATTGTATCTCTCTTCGACATCAATTAACATGTATACTTGACGTAAAGTTTAGCTATTACTTATTTACTTTATTAGTAAGCTCTTTAAAGTTAAAAGTCGATTATAGGAGTGAATAAAAATAACCCTTAAATAACCCCTTCTCTGTCTGCCTTAATCTTTAGTATTAAAGATAATCAAGTACTTAGTGATAGATGAAGAGCATTTAAAATAAAAGATACCATAGACCTATTAATCAGATATTTTTTCCAGTGCTGTCTGTGGCACCTATTATTATAAATGCTCAATAAAAATATATAGCCGTAACCAAATAATGCTAATTTTAGTACAGTGCCATAGTTACAAATTGATAACGGGTTTAGAAGAATAATGAAACGAAAAATATAACTATTTGTCAACTTTCGTTGAATTCAGATAAATGTATTGATTTATCCCAATTCAATGACAAATATTTATTGCTGGTAACTGACAAACACATTACTACTTCGTTTCGGTTGAAAGTTAGGAATCTACCAAATAGTCAGGAATATTACCAAATAGCAAACGTACGACGCGCCGTACAGTGAAATATTACAAATTATATCCGAATAAACACAGAAGTGCTAGAGAATACTCATTTTTATTGAATAAAAAGTACGAAAGAAATCATGTTTTATTTTATTTGAAAACTAGTTTTAAAAACTAAATGTATAATACTATAATAATATATATGCTTATTAAAACCAATTAAATATCATAAAGATATATATACTCGCCAGCACTGTACCTACTATATTCATGCTAGCGTTATTTGGAAGTAAAAATGATTATATTATAAGAGCTATACTAGAAGAAAGATTCAGGCGAGCCATAGCAATTATCTAATCTTAACCTCCATCAAACTTACATGTGCGTTTGTGTAAGATATGTAAATATTTTCAAACAACAAAGATACATTGAGTACATATTATACTTATTTAGAATATATATAACTGAGTTGGAATTGTAGAATGTCCGTGAAATGATAGTTTTCGTCAGTGATATTTCCTATTTAATAATTTACTGAAATACTCGTATAAACTGTTTTTTCTTATATTGCTATGTATTTAAGGTACCAAATTTTTTATATCCTTTTTTGTTAAAATATGTTTTTCATTTCAAAGAACGTGTCAGTCTAACGGTTAAAATTTGTTTTTAATATAAATAAATAGGTTTTAACAAAAATTTTTAACTACATATATGATATGGAGTGTATCAGTTTGATATTGTGTTTTTGGATCAATCAATAAAATATGGTCAATCCTCTCTACCTCTACTGAGACTAAATCTGCGATGAAATTTAAAACCTTTCTTTTTCTCCTGTTTATCTTCTAGGGGTTTACTGTCAACAAGATTATCAGCACTCTTAGCAACTTGTACGCTTTTTCTTCTATTTTTCATTGACTTAACGAGTTTATAGAATTTGCCTTTTTTCTTAGTTGGGTCTTGGGTTAAATCTGGCAGTTCCTCTTCTACTTCTACGCTGAATTCTGATGATATGTCTCCAAGATCTTCAACGCTGTGGCTTTCAATTTCTCTTGTTGACGGCACTACTAGCTTATTTTTAGAGGTGTCCGGTTTCGGTTCCTCCGGAGGAGGCGGTGCGTCAGGGTCTATGCACTGAAAATAAAATTAAACATACACTTTCGACATGAAGCTTTACGTAACGCTAGAAAGAAAGCAATAGGGGCTATAATTTTGTTAAGTCTATTTCGAGGAAGAAAGAGAGATGAAGATGAAGATGTAAGAATTTTAGAAGGCACTCAGAACGTGCTATCTTTGAAGACAAGCAGACGACATTGTAAAATATTCCTCGTATCTATATTCTAAGATTTTAACTATATTTTATTCATGATATAACATCATCAAAAATCTTTATAGAAAAAATTTCACATATAGGTGTAATATTTTTTATAGATTATGATGGAATAATTGATCCGCCTGCACTACGCGCTATTTTAGCTAGGAGGCACTAGTGTAAGATTGTCTACAGAAGGCCCTAATTCAGGGGCGATTTTCAAGCAGTGGTGCGGAGCGATCAAGATCGCCTTTAATTTCCATGTCGCTGAAATCGTTTAGGAGAAGCCTACTATCTAGAGGTGTTTGTGATTGTGATCAGCATATGAAGCATATGAAGAAAGCCTTGAGGCATGAGGATGAAGTTGGATCAATAGCGTATCAATAAATATCTACAATTTATTGAGTTTAAAAAACACCGCGGATTTTTTATGTCGAATTATATTTTTTTAAGTAATTAGGTATTACCAGTTAGGCATTCCACGCTCTTTGAATCGTTTACAAATAATACGATGAATAAATTTAGGTGAAATTGCGACGGAACTTTCTTTTGAAATTCCCAAACGATGAGTTCGAGAGTGTTTGAAAGTTTTCAAAGAATCCGTTACCCTGTTAATGTAATTGGATTTTGTGGAATATAAAGGGTTAGAAATGTTCAAGAAAAATCTTCTGCCTCGAGATAAGATGTTCATGCAAACATAAACAGGTTCTTGAAGAAAATGTCATGAATAATAAAGCTACACATATACAATACAACTTTATTGAGGTTGTATATTTTTACAGTGGCTACCTTTGTCTCATCCATTTCAGCTGCCAAGCAGCTTGCTTCGTAAAGTGTATTTCTATTAAAAGGTATAGAGTCATTGAAGAAGACTAAGCTGACTCTGTTAACACATGTCTGTAGTATATCGTGTCATTTATATTGTTCAAGTATATAAGCGATGCCACTTATAGCTTATAAGTGAACCTTCAGTTTATTTGCCATTCCATTAAATAATAACTACGACTAACTCTTACCCATAACATTGTCCACTGTTACCAAAACCTAACTTGATAAATAGTTACCATGTCAATGTTTATTTCCGGAACAAAAAGTCATCAACTCATCAAAGTTATATCCAGTCAGTCTCTCTCCATACAAAATTATAGTTATTACACGAGGAGCATTTTACCCTTCAAGTTTTATATTCTCCTGACTAAAGCTTTTCTACATCCTTCTTAATGATGTCAAGCAATCCTGCTTGCCTCTAAGATATTACATAACATGACATGATTCTATATATTATGATCCCGCAATCATATATGATTGTCATCTTTTCTTGCAAAAATGTAGCGAGTCGCGCCTACCAGATAAGTAAGTCATATTTGTAACAAAATGGGCATCACGTAAGATATATGCAGAAAAACAACAGCTCAGAAAAATAAATTACTACCATTCATCTGTACCTACGCTAGAAAGATGACATCTGTATACATGTACATCATTTGGAATCGTAACTCCTAAATTTACCACCATGAATTACAAAACAAATTTCTATATTAAAATAGTAACGTAAAGTTTTTACGAGATTTTATAAATTGTTATCAAAGAGTTATAAAAATATTAATATTATTTTGTATAACTTTGATTTCATTACAAAATTAAACATTTCTAAGGGGTATATTAAAAACAGTAGTTATCACTGCGTACATATAAAAAAACATCGTCTACTGGACTATCAACATAGCGCATACGCTTGAAGCTCGAAACTTGACTTTGGACTTAGGTAGGTAAGTATACGCGAAATTCCTGGGAATGGAATATAACTTAAACATATATTTAACAGTAAATGAGATTCCAACGCAAACGTAAACTTGTGTACATAACAAACAACATAATTGCTTTTCCCCAAACCTGTGAATGTAGGTCAAAATGTCTTCAAAAGTTAAAGGCAGTCTCCTAATACTGACTAACTAATTATAACAGTTGTTCAACTGTAAAATCTAAACTGTATAAGCTATTTAACTGTTTTTATAGTGTAATATTTTTAAATATGAATCAGAATGAATGAATGAAGTCATTTTTAGCCTCTTTGCTAAATTTTCTTGAATACTTTGGCTCGTTGTGTTATATTCAAGAGGTCCAGTCCAGAGCTGCAGACGGCTCCATTTCATCATTAAAGATTAACCGTTTGAGTGCCACGCTTTTCATGAATGTGTGCACAAAAAAAAAGCCAAAATTGATTTTAATGTCATTATATAAATTTTCCTGCAAAAAATCTGTATCTTGAACCATTGTCCAATTTTAATCATGTCTTCCCTGCGGAGCGCTAGATGCTAGTCTAGGAGCGCTATTGCGCTCTTAGGAACTCTACCAAGTAAATTAAAAAAAACATACGATCTAACACTAATAAAAAAGTTCTTACATCGGCTAATGAAATCCTATACGATGGCACTTGCTCAGGGTGCCTCCAGGGCTTATGGTAGGGTAGATCTGTCAGAGCCTTCCAACCAGGATATCGCCGTGCTGCAGCATGCAGTTGGTGAACAAGGCGTGGAGCCAGCTGCGCCGTCACCCTGCCAACATTTAAACCATCCACAGACTTAGATACCTAATATATATATATTTTTCTAATTGGAATGATAAACAAGATAATCTTTTAAAGCAAAGCTACTCGTAAAACATTGATTTCAAAAATATAGATGTCCATCAGAATTTTACAAACATTAAATTAATTAGAGAAGATATATTTGAAAATATAATGAGATGGTAGATATGTTCTAGAATGAAGACTGCGTAATGGCAAACGTAGCGTACCTACAATCCCCGCAGCTAAGTAGAGCGACGATAGAGCTAAAGATCGTACCCAGCTTTGCTATATCCAGCAGTTGATGATAATATAGCTATAAAATATATACCCTGAACATGAATAAATATACACATGGTAGTTGTAAACATGCGACATGTAAAAATAATTAGCATTGCCGCCGAGAGCGTGTCTGGAGCAATTAAGGTAGCACAAATTAGAACAATGTTCATATACAAAACTATTATATTTTATTACTCACTCTAGCCGTGTACATTATTTATAAATAACTAGCTATACGTCCCGGCTGCGAACGGGTTTGATAACAATGTAAACAACTGCAAAAGTGTAAGTAATTTTTGTATTCATACCATTTAATCATATTGTATTACTTTTCCATATCTTTTTTTAATATTTTCTTTTATACAGTCCTGACAACTGAACAATCAGAAAATAAACATGTCCAGGCATTATGCATTAATCACAATTGTTGATATGATAAATGATTGAGATTGTTTCTAGTTTTACAAAGTCTATATACCTCACTTTTTATTTGTTAAATCGCACCTTTACAATTGATTTTGAAGTTAGTGCAACTGAGCCGATGACGAATTCCGGTATAAAGAATAGGATATAGTATAATTAAAGGGTATGAAAGAAATACACATATTCATATTGTGATCTCGTCTGGATGTTTTCCAAGTATAATGTACGCATTTCCAAAGGAGAATGTATCGAAGTATTCTATCAGTAATATATACCATATTACTGACCATAACACAGATCTGCTTAGGTAATAGATAGAGCTGTGTGAATCATCCATGATTATTAAAATAATATTTAGGTAACGGTCTATATTTCATAAGAGAGATCGTCAGCTTGCTTCCCATTCAAATAACATTGAATAAACAACCGTTGAAAATAAATAGCTTAATTTCTTGCCATTTTATTTAACAGATTTTATCATTGCCATATTTAATACCATCTACGGAGACGCAGTTACATTTACACTTATACTTGATTTTTACAATTATATAATGCTTACATACAATGAAATAGGCGCGTCATAACATGCAGTGTATGATTTTGCATAGCAAAATAAACAAAAATAAGGATTACAGACTTCATAACAAACTTAATAACTACTACATCGTCACAATTTACAACATCGTATTATTTATCATGTAACATTCTCACCTGTTGACCAACCAAGCTGGTAATGCTCCACGAGGGTCTGATCTGGACACGTAGCCCAGCCAGCTCCCACTAGTGGTCCGTGTGCGCACAACGAAGCCAGTAAGAAGAGACAATGCCCTGTCAATGGGTAAAAGATTTCGTTTAATAAAAAATATTGTGTAATAATGTATTGTGAATTATTTGTCTTAATGTGGAGGTTATAGAGTAAGCGAGAGCTAGTAGAAACTAAAACTTAAAAGTAAACCTTATTCAAATAATCTCAGTAATAACTATTTTAATATATATATATATATTTGTGTAGGTACATCATAATTAATACGGTAAGCAAAATTTCGTACCCTCTTTTACAAAAAAATACGCGAACTATTGAGAATAATATTCGATATATGGCTAGTCATCCATCAAAAACATAAATGTGAAATGATAGCCGAGTTTAATATTATGATATAATACGACAAAAGAGATGAGATCTAAATCTATGGTCTGTCCTGAAATGTATTTATAACAATATAAAATATCATTTCTTCTTATAACTTAGGATAATATACTGTAGCCTAAGGTCTAACTTGGCCAGTTCTCATATACCAATTATTACTTTCGATTGCTAGTTAGTATTAATATTAAAATAGGAACCGACAAGTAACATGTTTATAACTTGCGAAGGCTACAGTATATTTCGTATATGAAAAAGCCAAGTTAGACCTTAGGCTACAGTATATTATCCTAAGTTATAAGAAGAAATGATATTTTATATTGTTATAAATACATTTCAGGACAGACCATTGAACTTGGCACCCATTTAGATCTCATCTCTTTTGTCATCAACAATCAAGGCATATATCATAATATTAAAATCATTTCACATTTATGTTTTTGATGGGATATCATACTTTTTGTACATAAATTATACTAGGTACATATTTATAACTAAATTTATACCAAATTATTTTTGATAAATTACTGTATTTTCGTATATTTACGGGGTATAATTGTCTTTTTTTTGTGTTATTTTCTATATTTTCTTGTAACTTTTAAATGTTGAAGTCCAAAGCCAATTCAGTATCAGGAATTTTTGGGCAAATCGGGGCGGTATAACGTCCACAGATGGTTGTACTCTACAATAGAGCTCTCGTGACTTGGATCTAAACTGTTAAGACGTACCCCATCTAAGGTTTTAACTCTGGAGAGTCCAACGTAAACCTGCCCTTTATTAAATATGGAGGAGCCTATGTTGAGAAGAGGACTGCCAAAACTAAGGCCTTGTGATTTGTGGATAGTAATAGCATATGTTAAGGAAATACGGAATTGTTCTCTTTCAACATATACATTATTTAATATCTGAAACTTCGTATTGACTGTTATCAAATTGACTGTTATCTATTGAATTCTCAAGAAAACAATTTGTTACCAATGAGTTCTCATTCTCGAGTTAACTATACATTCCTACTTATAACTATACTAAAATTGTTATTAATTTTTGGTTTAAACTATTGTCTATACCATACGTATTTACTAAGATAATGTAATAATAATATAACCACAAATATATAAGTATAATTTAAGAAAGCTATAAATTTCGTAGCATAAATCGCAACCTTATAGGTTAGATATCGAGAAACAAAACATTGAGACATATGAGGGCGGCTGCCATTCGCTCGGACAGGTTCGCGTCAACGTTTTATCGCACCGCTCCCACACGGCGCCGCCGCGGCGCCCTATACCGAAATGTCTATTATTTAATAATTATTTATAAAAATAATGATTTTACACTATCGATGTGCGCTAAATATTGAAATAATAATTAATACCAAATCTCAGTTAATAACATAATAAATACGAAATTCGACTATATAGTTATAAGTACGAGTATATTTTAGACAGAATCTAAATTATACTAGTGTTTATCGCTCAATGCAATATTTGAAGTTTGCTAGTTATCGACACTGATTGAAGGGGTCAACGTAAATTGGTAATGATCGACGTTTTCATACAATATTACTTTCCGTCCAGTACAAGATGAAATTTTTCGCCAGGGATCAATGTCAATTGGATATATCGACGTTTTCATAGAATTTTAGTCTTCGTCCATATATATATAATCAATTAAATGAAAAATTGTAGTAAAATGATAACAATTTCAGTTTCAGATTTTTGCCTTTATATTCACCTAATTACCTATATGCATGCCAAATTTGAACTTCCTAGGTCATCTGGAAGTGGGTTATAATTTTGATCTATAGTTAATAGTGATAAAAATGACGATTTTTGGACATTAATATCTAAATAACCGTTTGAGATAGGTTTATGAACACACATATTTATCTCGCAAGTCTCAATATATGAACCAAATTTGACAGGTTTGTGTGATAGAGTTTTTGAGTTATGAGGGGGTCAAAAGTGGCTCCAAATGGTTCGTGTAAATATACACACGGTGCTGCAAGCCAGTTTACTTGAAACTCGGCTTGACACGCTGCCGCGTGTCTAGATATAGAAAGTTCATCAATGCCTTGCCGTTATCCCATTATTTGGGGTAATAGGTATATAGAATCGTTAAATTATGCCATATCTTTGACACACAGCTAAAGATGATAAGATGAACATGGAGTCAAGATAACCCATCGTGACCAAATCACAAGGAATTTAGTGTTTATGGTGGATTGTGTGGAGTGGACTGTTGAACCCATTTCCGGCAATATACCATATATTGCCAGAAATGGGTTCAACAGTCCACATTACTAACAGTGCCCTTCCACCCTATAAGAGATGGATGGATTTTTAAAGCAGTTTTATATTTTAAAGAGAGAGGTGGATTCTGACTCTAAACAAATGTTTCCCAACCTTTTTGTGTCATGCCCCGCCTTATAGACAAAATAATATCAGGTCAGCCGGTAACCGAGTATGGCGAAATTAACTGCTATAGTTTGTAAGATAAGATCATATAGATCTCATGGAGGTCGACCTGACATGGTATCTGTCTGTCCCTGTTTCCCACCCTTAATACAAATACTTTGTTTGTCTATACTTTCCTAATAAAATTACCTACTCATCAAGGTACTTCATATTACAGTAAATAAGTAACTAACATCACATCATGAATTTCACAATGAGATTATGAAACACAAAATAAACCTAATTTCCTTTACATTGTTCTCCAAATATTTGAAATGCTTAGAAGTCAAAAGTCCATTTATCATCCTTTGTGTCACCTAACAGAAACCCCTCGTCCGCTACAGAAAGGTTTTGTTTTCAAATTGGCCAGATTGCTACACCATAAACCCGTGTTTTAATCTATTAAATATATATAAACTATAATTTTATATAGTAATAAACTAGTAACCCGCCTTGACTTCACTCGAGTGTTCATATATACATGAGTTTTGTATATGTTTTAATGTTAGATCGATGCATTATTTATGGCTGATTCTGATTACATATAGAGGGGCGATTGCTTGTAATAGGGGCACAATGTCTCATTGCTAGCAATGAGCCCAGTAAGGTTGACTTCCACTTGGACGGGGTTCCAGAAGAATCATAGTTCCAATGATTTCTATGAGCTGAGAGGAGTGTCTTCAGGTTTTTAACCGGTGGTAGTCTATAACCACAGGTCTTTATGGATGGATTTTACTGATATAAAAGAGCGCTCTACAACCCATTTTGGTTAATTTCTGGTGAAGTCACCAGTATAATAATTAATTTACCACGATGGTTTCCAGGGAGAAAAACGTGGAGGTTAACCTGACGTGGTCGATTGCTAGGAAAGGAGTCATTATTCTACTACTCCCATTTACCCCTTACCATACCACTCTTACCACCATATGCATATTATCCACTAAGACTAAGAATAGCATTTCAAAAGAAATTTGCATCAAAATCAGCCTATGTAGCATTAAAATAGACTTGTGTAAGACATTAATTACTTAAAATTAAGGTACTTGCCCTTAGCTCAAACGTAGCCAATAAAAGATAATTACTACCGGCAGAGAAAACACACTGCGGGGCGCTTGGAAACTGCTATAACACTATTTTACGACTCCCGATTTGGTCAATAAATCGAAATTTATACTTAAACACGCCGACAATTTTCATTGAAACATCAACCACTTTATGGCAATTCAATTAAATTCATTGGCCATTACAGCAAATGCCATAAAACTTGATAGATATTAAAAGAAAATTACAACGAATAGGAAATTATCCAGAACGATATCATGTTACTTTATTGCAGTCTCTGTGACCCAGTAAAATATATTTGCAAAATCACACATTTTCTTATTCACAACCTTATATAAATAGAAATGGGGTGGTGAGGTAATTATGTAGTTTAGGGTACAGTGGAACTGGCATGTTCTTTTAGTTTGTACAAAAGTCCCTAAATATCAAAGAAATAAAAAAAGCATAAAATTATATTTTTAGATACCCGCCACTTGGTTGCATTGAAATTATCATTTAGTAAATAAAATATCAAAAATACAAGTAGCTAAAGTTTTTCCTTATAACATTAGCTATCAACAAGTGAAAGTCCTGGCAAAATTGATCCAATTATTTTAGAGATTATCAAAAACAAACAGACAGATAAAGGTTTTTTAAATTATTCTTATAATTCTTAAATATGCCTTCATGTGCAGTTAGTGAAAATCTGGGAATTTGAAATACAAATAGATAGTTTAATTTTATTTATTTGTATGTATGGATTAAAATTTTGGTTACAGAATAGAAACGAACACCAATCTATAGATTTGATTCGATTACGTCTCACGCAAAAGGACCCTCCACCCTCCCCTATTTTAATCTACGATCGACAAACTGTGACATTTTAAGACAACTTATTGTAAACATGTACAATCATATTTCAAAAGAATACGAGCTGAGTTTCTTCTCAGTTCTTCTCATCTCGAAATCATACCGAATCTATTTGACATATCATAAGAGTCTGAATAGACCTACATGAAGATATTTTGAATTTGAATTTGAAACTAATAATAATAATAGTTGAAATGCCAAAATATGTGACGTCACATTAGGGAGTCTCATAAATGTGTCCAACGGTGACAAGAACAGGCTGAAGGATCTAAATATCACAATATTCCTGTGACGTGATTAATAGGTGATCCCTTGATACGACCTGACCAGAGATATTTGGATTTTCAAAGCAGTCTCAACCTTTAAGAAAGAGAGGTATTTATCTCGATACGCAAGAAGTGTGCCTATTTTAATTTTTGAATGACCCTTTATAACAGATATATATGGGTTTTCAAAGCAAGCCTTACCTTTAAGAGAGAGAGAGAGAGAGAGAGCTGTCTCTGCTCTCCCGCCTACGAGTAAATCTAAACGAAAGCACTTTTCCGTTATAAGAGAATTAGCTTATCTCGTTCACTGTCGACGCAGAGCCTACAAGATTAATAACGTCATACGTACGTCATAAGACGCCACTTGACACTAATAAGCGAAATGTGGTTAGAAAAGATAAAGTAGTAAGCCGAGGCCGAATTCATTGAATACTAATGATTCCGTATATAAGTATAATAATATAAAAGTCGCCATCTACTTGTTTGCCAAATTGTCTATAAAAATGGTATATCCTAAATCAAATCATACAGCGTTTCACTAAGTATATGAAAGTACATACGGTACCTACATCAAAAAAATATTTTTAAATCTTTGCCTGTCTGTTTGTTTGTTAATGCTAATCTCACAACAAAAATGAAGACCAGCCGTTACCCACGACTTGGTCCGCGTAAAACTAAAATAAATACAATTTCTAAAATAAAAGCAGCCTAAGTTGTTCCTTATAATATTAGCTAAAGTTTTGTCAAAATTGGTCCAGCCGTTTCGGAGATAAACAAGAACAGACATACATCCCTGTATATCTGAATCGTATTATTACTATTCATTATTAGAGTTAAGATAGATTATTTAAGGTATTCTTTTTTATATGAGGTGCAATTATTACAATTTTGTATTTTGTATTTAAAGTACAATTGACTTAAATAAACATCTGAAAATAAAGAACAACATTATAAGCAATGCAATTGAGTAACTAAGGAAACTTCGTTAAAATACTTTTAGTGAATTAGTATTTTTAAAATACACAAAAATTGGAGGAGTATGTAATAAAGTAACCAAGTTCTACCTTAAAATAAATTAGATGGAACAGGAAATTCAGTTTCCCCAACATATTCCAATCATATAACCCAAATATTGCTTAAACCAATTTCGAAACAAATACTCTACTCGATTCGGAGCATGGCTCGCTACGGAAATGAGATTTCTTGCCATACATCATAGTCACTGAGGTTAAGAAAATGTAATCCTTATAAAACAGGGAATTATATGTCAAACGTTAGTATAAGAATTGAGAAAATTTTTAATATTTATAATATTGAATGGTAATAAATTCGAATGATGGTAAATTCATTGTGGTAATATTATGTTTCTAAATAAATATTGTTAACACTACATGAAATAAATGGCATTTTCATAACTTCAAATTTAATTACATATACCTTACGTCAAAATAGTTAAGATAAGAAATAAGTCTCTAAACTCTTTTGTTTAATGTGAAATATTTTTTCATCCTGGCGTTTAGTATACGAAACAGTTATTATGTATTCACACTGTGGTTTTAAATAATGCTTTGTTTTAATCTGAAAAGTTATATTTTTACTGGGTACAAACCACTGGAACGCAGAACTGTCACCCACGCTTCATATTTATTTATTGAAATTTCAATGCACAAATACACAAATAAAGATGCACATAGCGGACTTCAATGATTTCATTGATCTTAATTTACTGTACAAAAAATGCCCAAACAAACAAAACAGCACTAATACTCTATAATATACACATAATCATTAAATCGCAAATTTCGTTATTATGTGAAGATTAAGAAAACAAGTCCAATGAGCATAAATTATCACTAGCACTAATATCATGTAATCATGTGAGGACAAAATCATCTATACCCTATAATTCCTCTGACTCCCATATCCCAGCTGAAACGCAGTATTTCATATGCTAGCTGTTTGGCTCAGAGGAGCCTATACAGACGAATAAATAGGAGTATGTTAAAAATCTATCTTAGTCATGACACGTAACTGGAACCTTTCAATTAAAAGAAGACTCATCAAAATTGACACGGTAACATACATACTGAAAAATGTTGCAACATTTTCTTTAAAGAATAAAACGTATTGTCTTTGAAAACATATCGATGAAAGACGATTGTCACATTACAACACTGTACCCTAATAGTTAAGTAGTGATGGTACGTAGTGGAGGGTCGTCGGTTCGTCACGGATTGACGCGCGTGCCGGCACCGTTATCTAATCATCAAGTGGCCAGCAAACAGAGGGACGCTGTGCTCGCCATACGCCTACGCGACACGCGTCATTATACCCTAAACAATTAGCTTTACCTACTTTATTTTATTCAATTTGTCAAAAAATCAGGCATATATTTCAAAGACAAAACTTCATCATAAGTGTAAAAAAAAATGTCATAATGACATGCATAAGTGGCTGAAAGCGGTCTACATGATTGTACGGAAGTAGCTAGTTAATGCAAAGAAGAACTGATAATAAACGTAAATGGTGCATTTTGTTATGTTATTATATAGACTTTAAATAAAATAATATAGTGTATATGTCTAACATATTTACTAATAGGTCTCCCAATGGTCGAAATTCGACTCTAATTGATTTAAATTATAAGATTGAACATTATATAGGTTCTTTTGTCTAAGACTATACTTTTATGCATGTCAATGTAAATGCAAAATTAAAAAAATATATTATCATTCTGAACTCGTTCTCTATAATGTGCGAGTTTCAAACACCTCCTGCGCAAGGTAAAAAGGGGCACAAAGTTTTTGCTTCACGTGTTAATATAATGATATAAGGAAAATCAAGCGACTGAAAAACTAATGCCATACCATAAACGGTCGTCTTTTAACGCAACCATCGGAACTAAACTAGTATGTTAAATCGCTAGACCGCACCGATGCCGTCTAATTAGAATAGTTTACCTGACAAATCCCTTCCTTGGTGGATAGTCCTTGTGGTAGACTGAGTGATTTAGGATCATCTTTTCGTCGCCTGTATCCAACCACGACCGCTGAAGCACGAAGTCGCGGTTCTTGAGAGGTGCTGGGCATGACACTGTAACAAAAATATTTTTAAGTTTACCTCATAATTTGTGAGATAATATTAAGTATAGATAAGTTTATTGTTGTAGCATCTGTAAGACGCTTATTATAAAAGGGTTAAAATATTTTTATACGATTGACTTGAATATTAACAGCTTGACAATCAAATTGCAAATGGAGAAAATTCTAAAACTAACTCAACATTATATAATTACTATGTAATGTAATTTAAAAACAGTGTTGATGCTGACAAAATTGGAAAAAAAATTGATTATTACATCATCCAATTTTTTTAAGAGGGGATATTTCAAATAGAAGATACGGGCGAATGCTGTAGGTTTCGTAGACTAAAATCTTGTACCCCGGAGTGAGTTCATACTTTCTATTAAGTTCTTCTTGGCTTAAATTACTTACGGAACTGGCGGTAGATTTGACTCAGCATAAGTATTAGTTGTTTGAGGCAAGAAACAGATCCAATATCTGTTTCTTGCCTCAAACAATGGCCATGTTTGGAATACACGTAGCATTCGGTATTAATCAAAGAATAATTAGTCAAAGTCATAGTTTATTAAATATTCTATTAATTTAATAATTAAAATATAGAATTAATATAATAAGAGACTCGTGTTAGTACTGATATTGATCGGATTATAGAAGAGGTAATTAGGCGAATGAAATATTTCATTTATAATTAAAAAGATTATCCGAAGTGACTACCTACTTTAATATTAATTTTACTCAGGACTCAGGGCACGCTTTGAAGTTTCCTTATTATATAATCATGCTTAATACTTAAAATTATAGTACTTATAATAATGGTATAAATAAATTATTAAAATTCAGCATAACCGTTAATGTTACGCAATAAATAATGGATTTATTTCTTTATTCAATCAAAACACTCCAAAATTATTATTGTCAAATATTTTTTTTATTTTACCGCTCATTCGGAGATCAAAATCATCACAAAAAGAACGAGCAATTAAATATAAAAAGCATATATGCAAACAACCAAAAACAATGGTTTCGTATTCTTTTGGGACAAAATATAATCTGATGATAACATACATACATAGATACCGAAAGTTTATAATATATTTTTATAATTGGACTTGAAGTAAATATTTATCAATACCACAAGCTCTGCTCAGTTTGGAACTAAACAGCGCTATATATCCTGAGATACAATATACTCCTAAAATTATTGTCCTAATTCTATATTCAATAACTTAATCATAACTTCTCTTAACTTGAATCTTTATATACCTACAACTCATGATGAAAGATCAAAAGGAAATGACTTTGACTTAAAAAATGCCTACAGGGAAGGTTTTGCATTAATTCAACTTCAAACGTTAGAAACTTTGCAAGCTAACAATTGCTTTTAGAAAGTCTTATTAACAATCGACTAACGATTTAACAGAACTTTTGTACTAGATACCTATACAAAAGTTCGTTCTTGTTAGTGTAAGTTGATTATAAAAGCTTCATGTATCCGTATTTAATTTATCGTTAACAGCATTATCGAGGGATATTTAATAATAGGTACTTCCAGGTATTGTCGTAAAGAACAATCACTTCATTTAATAAAATATTTGATTTATTTAAAATAACATTTACTTCTTTTATTCGTTATGAAATCAACTTCTACAGAAATACCATCAATCTTTTCAGTTTCTGAAGCGAAAATTATATTATTAAATAAATATACACAGATATATTTTATCGAATTAGGTATTATTTGCGGAAGTCCATTTTATTACTTAATGTATTTATATTATTTTGTTTAACTCTTCTAACATTAGCATGTGTGAGATCTCAAATATACGACCGTTCGATTGCTGAAATTATTGGATATGCACCCGACAAGTGTTTCTCCTTTAAACGAGACACTATCAGGTACTGAACAGAGTTTAGATATGTATATCATTACATATTATAAAACAAAGTCGGTGTCGCTGTCTGTCCGTCCCTAAGTATGCTTAAATCTTTACAACTACGCAACGGATTTAGAAGCGGTTTTTTTCATAGATAGAGTGGTTAAAAAGAAAGGTTTATATATATAATACATGTACACCCGTGAGAAGCCGGGGCGAATAGCTAGTAATTGTATATGTAACTTGGAAGCCTAGTGCTATTCTACACTGTACGGTGACCGGACTAATATTATGTTACTATTTAATAATGTAATTTTTAAAGAGTAACATAATAGTAGTCTGGTATTCAATTTCAATATTTGCATACCCCTACTGGCTACTGGGTGCTGCTTGTATTGTACTCTAATTATATTGCAAGATCAAAATTACCTGTAGCAAGCAAATAAATAAATTATTATTATTAACGTAGCTTATAATAAGTGTTTTTTTTTAACTATACAAGAAATAAACTACTTCTTCCTTATAATAGTAGTACAGACAGCCATAGTGTTATGATCTTTAACTATTCTTCATCAAGATTGATGAAGAATAGTTAAAGATCATAAATAAGCAGATGATAAATAATAGCTACTGCTCATGTAGGCATTTCAACCGTGTGTAGCAAACTTGATTGGTTTACTTTGTTCCAATACAAAGTCGAGCACAACAGCCTTCCGGCCCTTCATCGAGAAAGGCTCTATTCGTTCTATTGTAATTGGAATTGAATACACTTTTGTATTAACTGCCATTGGAGTATAATACAAAAAAATATTATTGTTTTTTTTTATGTATATAATTAGAAATACAAACAAATGGCTCACCTGATGGTGAGTGGTAACGGTAACCTATATATAATACATGAACAGCACCACGGAAAGATGTCGTTATGTGTTGCCATTCCAGTGTACTAAGTTGTCATGCAGGATTTTATAATAGTAATTTAATTTATTGTATTATAATTTGACGACCTTGGTGGTATAGCGGTTTAGCATGCTGCTTCACATCTGACAGTCGCGAGCTCGATTCCTCATATTATACAAACATTTGTATTCAGGTTTGTTTGTATTGGTGGGTATTTTCTATACAAATCCTATGTGTAAAAATTTCTAAATGTTTATATGAGTTGTAGCCATAATACAAGCCCTGATTGGCTTGGCAATGGAAACACAGCTTTCAAAGCAAGCTGCTTAGCGACTGATTAGGTAAAAGTAGAGTAGACCCACGCAGATCACTTTCTACAAAGTTACTAGGTTAGAACTCGCCAAATTGCCTCGTAATTTCGACTCCGGTTGAAATGTCACAGGGATTGTTTCGAATTATAAACATTTAAATAGAGACATAAGAATGACCCAAAAAAAACTGAAATTTACTTGTCACTGCCTTAACAGGAAAATGACCAATTTTATTCGGGTGCTGATTACTCAAGTATGCATATAAATAATGCCTAGTGTCAATTTATCCCTATAGATTTACAAACTGTTAAATAGCCGTGTAATCAAACAAAAGAAATAAACGTTTTTCGTTGGTTTAAATCAATTAATATTAACGAGCTATATAGCCGTAGCGTACCGTAGCCTGCATTAAATATAGGCTTTACGTTACTGGCTATTAATGTTTTTTAAAGAGATTTATGATAAAAACAGTGTTTTTTCATTACTCCATTACTCCATTTATTTATTCACTCCATTCTCTTTTATAATGAACTATAAGGTAGGCAGATATCTATAAAAGTTATTTTATATTGGAAAATAATATTTTAGATGTTTTGGTTTAGATTTGAACACCTAGAAATATACCTGAATATATTTTCTACTTTCGATTGTTCGTCTTCATAAAGGATTATAAATTGACAATATTTATAATTTTACAAAGATACACAATTTACTATTTCAATCTTTAAAAGTGAAAACCAAATATACTTACTACACAACAGACATACAATATAGAGTAGGTACTAGATAAAACATATCTTAGATAGTATTCAACATATTATATACTTAATTGACCTTAAGCTAGAAAAACCCGTGACGTATCTAAGATCAAATTTAACTATTGATACTGTGCCTAAAAATGTTATTTTATTATAACACAATGTAATATTTTCAATTAAAAAATATGTGGTTTTATTATATACAGTCTCATGTTTATTAACTGTTTAAGTAAATCTATAAAAAAGTATGCTGGCAACTCTATGGTCAATGGGACTCAAAAGGACTTGTGTCCAGAGCAGTAATTTATAAAAATAAAAAAGTAATCAGCTAAAATTTTCTCACGCCTACACCACATCATTCTACAATATTTTAGCATAGAACCTGGTAGATACATATAACAGAAGATTTTAGAATAAAATAAAATCCCAATATCTACATTATTTTCGTGTTACATCAAACAGATAACCTTATAATTTATTATATCTTTTCTTGCTTTAAGTTTTAACTAATTACAAAAAAAAACAAAATAAATAATTCCATCAGTCGTGTGACGTACATAACAATAGCGCATAATATAAGGAATAGTCTATGACAAAAGCAAAATTATTTATTTAACGCACATGCAAATGCAAACTTAAATCTTAAATGTGCAAAACTGACTACCAATTAATCAATACAATAAGTGTCTACTACAGCCGGTCCTGTTCACACTATTAATTCACGAGATCTATTCATGTTTGCCCAGCACACCGGAAAATTATTCGTTCAATTTGATTTACCGAAGCTAGGACGTGACAAATGGCATAACGAACCAATATTTGGCCTGCGTGCCAATCAAACCATTTCAAGTCTACCCGTATTTGTGACGTCAGCCAGGGACGCCAACCGTATAAGATATAACGATCGTGATATCCACTTATATGAATCCTCATACGAATATTAGATTTTTGTCCCTCAGACATTTATACAAAGATATATTATTTTATAGTAGATGTACAAAATTTGAGATTTTTTTCGTACCAAACTAAGTGTTTTAAGTTTGGCAACCCTGATATCAATGCCTACACGAAAAGTCGTAACGAATAGGGTTGAGATTCGAATTTTAATAACGTATATGTACTCATATTGTATTGATAAAGAAAAAATAACAAATATGCGCTATTTCA